AGAAAATTTTAAAAAAAAATAAATAAAATAAAATAAAATAACACTATAGAAGGCTGGGGAGATGGCTCAGTAAAATAAGTGCTTGCCTGGCAAGTGCAAGGTCCTGAGTTCAATCCCCAGTACCACAAAAAAATAAACAAACAAAAAACACTATAGAAACCCTGAATGGGATTGGCCAGCTCCTCAGCAGATTAAAGCACCTGCTTAGGCAGACACAGGGACCAGGGTTTGAATCCGAGCGTGCCGTGCTGGCCCTACCCCCGGGGCATGCTGAGCTGGTGAATGAGACTGGGCGTGGTGGCACGCATCTGTAATCCCAGCACTTGGCAGGCTGCAAACAGGAGGATCACTATGAGTCTGCTCTGTGTAGTGAGACCCTGTAGACCCTGTACTAAATACATAAAAAAAAAGAAACCCTGAAGATGAGTTGCCCCAATCTCTGTGTGTGTGTGTGTGTGTGTGTGTGTGTGTCCATGTTTCCCTCTTTCAAGGACAGTAGCTGCCCTCCACCAGTGTGACCTTGCTCTTTCCCTCCCTACTTTTTGCTCTCTCCCTTCCTCTGTGGTACTGGGGACTGAACACAGGGCATTCAGACTGAGCTTCCTCACCAGTCATTTTTATTTTGAGACAGGATCTTGCTAAGAAACTATGTTGCCCAGGATGGCCCTGAACTCCCAGGGACCCTCCCATCTCAGCCCCCCACATGCTGGGATGGCAGGGGCGGGGGTTATGGCTTCATCTCAAACTATAACTTCAGGGTAGAAAGTCTGTTTTATCTGCTTCGCCACCAGTGGGACCAGGCAAGACGTGGGCTCCTTGCAAGTTCACTCTCACTTGGAGTCCTCAGGATTGTGAGGGAGGCAGTTCAGCAGGTCCCCAGAGCTGGGCCAAGGGACCCAAGGAGAGGCCTAGGGGCTTCAGCTGCTGAGTTGCCAAAAATAGCCTCCTGGCAGACGGAGGCCCCAAGAGGGGAAGCTGCAGAGCCATCTGGCTTTCTTCCCTGCCCCGGTGGCCCCGCCTCAACCCCTGGAACTGGGCTGTGGGGGGAGGTGCCATGAGGCTCCACGGACACGCAGGAGGTCGCTGCCTTGAGGACTTGGTGCCCCACCTGCGGGCGCACAGCCCACCCCAGGGCCTATGACCAGGCAGCTCCCAGCCTGGAATGCCCGGCCCCACCACCGTGGTCTGTGTGGGCCTCATGGGGCACTGTAACAGGGCACCCAGCACACACAGTTCTGGGGACCACAAGGCAAAGGCTAAGATGTGGCAGGGTTGCACCCCCTCTGGGGCTCCAGGGCTCCTCCCACCTCTCCAGGTCCCCGATGCTCCAGTCCCAGGCCATAGCCACGTCCCTACAGTCTCTGCTTGCTGTCTTCACCTTGCACTGTTTCCCCACCTGAGTTGCACTGTCCCAATTTCCTTCCTGTGAGGCCACCAGTCACTGGACCAAAGCCACCTCACCCACTGTGACCGTCCTGACCCGACCCCAGCTGCAGAATGCCCTTGCTAGCAAGGTTCCTGTGCCGGTGCCCAGTGCAAGGCTTGGACTTGTCCTTAGTGGGAGAGACACAACCAGCCCCTGGCCAGAAGCCCGCTCCCCCGTCAGTGCTGCTCGCTGCTCCTGCTGAACCCTCAGAGCCTGCGCTGGGCATCCTTTCCTTCGTCTGAAGTGCCTGCTGGGGTTGGGGACTGAACCCAAGGCCTTCTCACTGAGCTGCATGCCCAACCCTTTTTAGTTTTTATTTTGAGACTGCTTCTTACTAAGTTGCCCAGGCTGGCCTTAAACTTGGGGGGCTTCTGTCTCAGCCCCCCAGGGTACTGGGTTGACTGCACCACCGCACTTACCTCTTGTGCTTGTCTATTGAATGCAGCAGTGTGGGGTCCCGCTGTGCACTGGCCTGACACACTCAAGCTCCTGGGTTCATCCTAGCACACACAGGTACGCACACATGCATGCACGTGCGCGCGCACAAGCACAGGCACACATGCACACCCAAGAAAGGAAAGCAAAAGGAAAAAAGAAGAAAAGGGAAAGGGAAGGAGAGAGAAGTGGCGAGGAGGGGAGGGGAGGGGAAAAGAAGGAAGGGGAGGCAAGGAGAAGAAAAAGAAAAGAGTACAGAAGTGTTTATCCAACTAGGTTGTGTCCTCAGCACAGTTCTCAGCCCCCAGTAGAGGGCGCCAGTGGGGCCCACAGAGGCTTATGGAGCTGAAGGTCCAGTTTAAGGGTGCAGATGTGTGACAGGGAGTTAAAACGCTGTTGTTTTCAGTGGTAGTCAGAACAGTTTAGACAAACAGGGTAACAGATTGCAAACAGGGCAACAGGGTGGGGAGGATAGGGAGAACTTTGAGCTGTGATGCCTTGGGGGACAAGAAGCCGTCAGGGCCATCTATGTTCCCAGCCTACTGGTGCGAGTCCAGGACAGCAAGACCCTGGCTGACTCATTCATCAGTACACACAAGCCAGGGCTGGGGAGATAGATTCTGGGTAGAATAAGTGCTTGCCTGGCTAGCACAGGGTCCTGAGTTCAATCCCCAGTACCGCAAAAAAAAAAAAAAAAAAAAAAGTACACTCAAGCCAGAAAAAATGAGCACTCAATAAATGTTTTTATTTTATTTTTGATTTTTGATTTTTGGTTATTTGAGTCTTACTTCACAGGTCAGGCTGCCTGGACTCAGTGATCCTCCTGCCTCAGCCTCCTAAGTGCTAGGATTACAGGAGTGTACACCACACCTGGCTTTTCCTTTCTTTTATTTATTTGCAGCACTGGAGATGGAACCAAGGGCCTCACGCATGCACGCTAGGCAAGTGCTCACTACTGAGCTGCACTGCAGCCTTTTTTGTGTTTTACTTTGATGTAGGATCTCACTAAGTTGCCCACGCTGGCTCCAAACCTGAGATTGTCTTGTCTTGGCCTCCCAAGTAGCTGGGATACCAGGTACCCAACATAAATATCTTCAGGGACAGGGAGCTAGCTAAGCACCTGCCTGGCAAGCACAGGGACTGCCCCACCCTGGACCCACTGAGCTGGCTACCCAAACCAGGCATAGTGGCGACTCCTGTAATCCCAGCGCTGGGGAGGATCTTTTTCAACAAAATATGTATGTTCCATTTGTATGGCTCCTCTCCAGTTCAATGAACCCTCTCTTTGATGACATTTTATGGGGTAAAAATCCACATCACAGGGCTGACTTTTGGTTCAATCCTGTAATCCCTATCCTGAGGAGGCTGAGGCAGGATTGAAAATTCGAGGCCTAGTGAGCCAGGGACAGGTTTAAGTGCCTTCCTGACAAGTGGGTACCACCAAAAAAAAGAAAGAAAAGAAAAGAAAGCTATAGGCCAACCTAGGTAACTTAGGGGCTTAGTGAGGTCCTGTCTCAAAATAAAATAAAAAATAAAAACAAAGGGTTGAGGATCTAGCTCAGTCCAAAGGCCGTGGTTCAATCTCCAGTACTGAGGAGGCCAATAAGTAAATAAAAATTTTAAAAATCATAAATCATAAACTTACCCTTTCAAGTATACAGTGCAGTTGGGTAGTGTTAAGTTATACAATTCTCTATCTCCAGACCATACCATCAGCCCCAAAGCATTCCAGCCCCTGTGAGCAGTCACCCATCCTTTCCCCAGGTCCACTTCCGGTCTCTGGAGTCACATGTCCTGGGCATTTCCGGTCCATGCAGCCCACACTGTGTCTGGTATGTCTCACTGAGCATGCCCAAGGTCAGCCCCCTCCTGCGACAAGTGTCACAGCCATGCTCCCTTTTTTGGCTGAGTAATATGCCAGCATGGGGATGGACCGTGCCAAGTGCAGCCCTCCCTCCCTCCCTCCCTCCCTCCCTCCCTCCCTCCGTGGACACCTGGGCTGGTCCCACGTCCTGGCCATTGGCCATGCAGCCTGCAGGTTTCTTCGGTTTGGTTCTCTTGCCTGAAGACTCCCAGTTATGGGGTTGAAGGTCCCACACCGGGTACCTGCTCCAGAACCTCCCCGGCCGGGCTGGGCTAGGGCGAGAGGCTCTGGAGGGAGGTGCTGACACTGCTTGGTCCCCAGGTGCGCGTGAGGATGCTGGTGCGGCCCTAGGCCAGGCTCCGCACGATGACCTGCTGGCTGCGCGTGCTCAGTCTGCAACTCCTGCTGCTGCCCGCAGCGCCGCCCCCGGCCCGCGGCTGCCCGGCCCGCTGCGAGTGCACTGTTCCCACGCGCGCGGTGGCCTGTGCGCGCCGCCGCCTGACCGCAGTGCCTGACGGCATCCCCGCTGAGACGCGGGTGCTGGAGCTGAGCCGCAACCGCATCCGCTGCCTGAACCCGGGAGACCTGGCCTCGCTGCCGGCGCTGGAGGAGCTGGACCTCAGCCTCAACGTCATTGCACACGTGGAGCCGGGCGCCTTCGCCAACCTGCCACGCCTGCGGGTCCTGCGTCTCCGTGGCAACCAGCTCAAGCTCATCCCTCCAGGGGTCTTCACGCGCCTGGACAACCTCACCCTGCTGGACCTGAGTGAGAACAAGCTGGTCATCCTCTTGGACTACACGTTCCAAGACCTGCACAGCCTGCGCACACTCGAGGTGGGGGATAACGACCTGGTGTTCATCTCGCGCAGGGCCTTCGCAGGGCTGCTGGCTCTGGAGGAGCTGACTCTGGAGCGCTGCAACCTCACGGCACTGTCCGGGGAGTCCCTGGGCCACCTGCGTGGCCTGGGGGCCCTGCGGCTGCGACATCTGGCCATTGCCACTCTAGAAGACCAGAATTTCTGCAAACTACCAGGGCTGCTGCACCTTGAGATCGACTACTGGCCACTGCTGGAGGAGGTGGCCGCAGGCAGCCTGCAGGGCCTCAACCTGACCTCGCTCTCGGTCACCCACACCAACATCACGGCTGTCCCCGCCGCCGCACTCCGCCACCAGGCGCACCTGACCTGCCTCAATCTATCACACAACCCCATCAGCACGGTGCCCAGAGGGTCCTTCAGAGACCTGGTGCGCCTGCGTGAGCTTCACCTGGCGGGGGCTCTGCTGGCCGTTGTAGAGCCCCAGGCCTTCCTGGGCCTGCGACAGATCCGCCTACTCAACCTCTCCAATAACCTCCTCTCCACACTGGAGGAGAGCACGTTCCACTCTGTCAACACGCTGGAAACTTTGCGCGTGGACGGGAACCCGCTGGCCTGCGATTGCCGCCTACTGTGGATTGTCCAGCGTCGCAAAACCCTCAATTTTGACGGGCGGCTGCCGGCCTGTGCCACCCCAGCTGAGGTGCGCGGCGACGCCTTGCGCAATCTGCCCGACTCGGTGCTCTTTGAATACTTCGTGTGTCACAAACCCAAGATCCGTGAGCGCCGGCTGCAGCACATCACAGCCACCGCGGGCGACGACGTGCGCTTCCTGTGCCGCGCAGAGGGCGAGCCGGCACCCAGTGTGGCCTGGGTGACGCCACAGCACAGGTCGGTGACAGCCACCAGCGCCGGCCGTGCACACGTGCTGCCCGGGGGCACGCTGGAGATCCTGGACACGCGGCCGCAGGACAGTGGCACCTACACGTGCGTGGCCAGCAACGCCGGTGGCAACGACACCTATTTTGCCACGCTGACGGTGCGTCCCGATCCTGCCGCCAACCGGACCCTGGGGGACGCGCGCAACGAGACGCAGGCGGCCGTGCGCTTCCCGCTGGACCTCACTACGGTCCTGGTGTCCACGGCCATGGGCTGCATCACCTTTCTCGGTGTCGTGCTCTTCTGTTTCCTGTTGCTCTTCGTGTGGAGCCGCGGCCGCGGTCAGCACAAGAACCACTTCTCCGTGGAGTACTCGTTCCGCAAGGTGGACGGGCCCGCCGCTGCCGCGGGCCAGGGGGGCGCGCGCAAGTTCAACATGAAGATGATCTGAGAGGGGCGGGTCTCCGTGACCCCGCCCCGCTGGTTTCCACCTATGCATTCTCCGCAGGGGGCGGCCACAAGCCAGCTGACTGGCTGGAATCCCCCTTTTTTCTAGGCACTCAGCCGCAGGCCTGTTTTTCTGCCGAGCGCATCTTTTGCAGTTTCTCAAGACTTTTCTTTTCTTTTCTTTTTTTTCTCAAGACTTTTCTAAAGGTTTCCACTTGTCTTCTGTCCTCCACCCGCTGTGGTCCCCGGGCCGGGATGGGGCTGACGGGGAGGGCTGGGCTCCTTTCTACAAACCTGCATGCTGTGGGGCTCAGAGCTCACACCAGGAGGTGACAGCGCCCCAGCCCACTCCACCCCACGGCCGGCCGTTCCATCTAAGGGGGACGGTGGCACCTGGGAGGTGTGGAGGGCACCCCAGCCCCAGGGGAGGGCTCCCATGAGGTCAGTTCTGCTCATACTGGAACCCTGTGGCTCACACCCAGAGGACACTACATCCACAGGGGGCCCAGACATTGCTGAGTGGGGCACACACCACACACATGGTGGAGCTAGGCACAGGACACACAGCCCACACCTAGGACACTCCACTCATATCCAAGTACACACCCAGGACACACTCAGCCCACACAGTGCACACATGGTTCACCACAGTGCACACTAGTGGCCCTTGCCATGGTCCCCATGGCCTGTCCCCTTCTTTCCTTCCTCCCTCCAGGACCCATGAGCCGGTAGGGTGCCCCCTAGGAGAAGCCATGTTCCTAGAGCTCCAGCCCCCCAGCCACCCACTGCCCAGCCTCAGGATCCCTCTGAGCTTCCAGCCTGCAGATCCAACCAGCCAAGTTCACAGTGACCCCAAGCTGTACACTTAGGATCGAACCACAGCAACCTGAGCCTGACTGCTTTGTTGAAGCAGCCACTTAAAGAACTGAGCTAAGGGGCAGGCCCCCAAGCTGCATGCTTAGGGATGGGGCAAGAGCAGACAGCTGGGGGGGTGGCATACTGAGTCCCTGACATGTGTCCTAGCAACAGAGGATTTTCGTCTCTGTGATTTGGAAGCAGATCTAGGACCAGAGTTCAAGTCCCAGGCCACCTGCAGCTCTGGGGACAAATGATCCCTCAGGACCGCTGCAGGCAGAGAGCTGCCTTCGTGGAGCATGGCAAACAGGAGCTGCGCTTGTGCAGAACATTCTGACAGGAGACTGACAGGCACTGTCCCTGGGCCAGGCCTTGCTCGCTCGGCTCCTGCCCCTCCCTGTACCTCAGCAAGATGACAGTTAGGACGCTGTTGTGGGAAGAGGCGCAGGAAAACTCGAGTGGCCCAAATTCAGGCAGAAAGGATCTTGGCCACTGACCCTGGCCACCAGGATGGAAGATCTTTAAGCCGGCCCTGGCTTCCACCTCCCCACTGTGTTGTGTGGTCTCTGCTGGGGACTGCAGGCGCCCCGGATCAGCAATCCTCTCCCCTGATGTGGCTTAGGTCCGGGCCTGCAGATGGGCTGCAGGGCTTGGCTTGCATCCTGAATCTCTCAAGACTGTAGCCAAATCAAAAGCTGGCTTCAGACAAAGGACTCAGCAGGATCCCAGCTGGGCCCTGGTCTGGGTCTGTGGGGACCCCTGACCCTGCTGGCAGTGTGTGGAGCCCTGCAGAATTTGGGCAAGGGGTGCAGAGCTGTGGCCCCAGACTCCACCCAAGAAGCCCAGCCAGGCAGAACAGACTGTGGTCCCTCAGTGGCCTCCAGGCCCTGTTGCTATGACAACATCAAGGGCCTGTGGACCCTGTTGCTATGACAACTTCGAGGGCCTCCAAACAACATCCAAGTGCCTTTAGCATCACTCAAAGACTGGGGGAAGGGTATGTTCCTGGCAACATTAGGGGTGAGAGCATCAGTACTGGGGTTCCCCAGCCCCTTTCCCCCAGTCCCAACCCAAACCAAGACCTCCTCTACCCAACGCCCTTTTCACATCCTACTGCATTGAGTCCAATAAAACTGAAACTGATTTAATAACAAACTTAAAATTGTTTCTATTATTCCTGTGGGAGGAGTAAGGGGTGGGAAGGGGTCCTTGGGAGGGAAATACCTGGCTCCACTCTACTGATGAGCCAAGAGACAGGAGGAGGACAGAGGAGCAGGCCTATAATCCCCCCACCAGGAGGCTGAGGCAGGAGAATCACTGATTTTTTTTTAAATTTATTTATTTATGGGGGGGCAGTTCAGTCCACCAAGGGGCGGGGCTGGCTGGCATGTGGTGCTGGGGGATTGAACAGCGGTCCCTGTGCTTTGCTAAGCTTGTTCTAAATAGGTGCTTTAGACCACTGAGCCATCTCACCAGCCCGAGAATCACTGATTTTAAGACCACCCTGCACTATATATTGAGATTTTGTCTCAAAAAAAAAAAAAACAGACTGGGGAGATAGCTCAGTAGAATAAGTGCTTGCCTGGCAAGTGCAGGGTCCTGAGTTCAATCTCTGGTACCGAAAAAAAAAAAAAAAAAAAAAAAGAACACAGCAACAACAATAACAACAGGACAGAAAGAATCAGCCCCCAAGTCCCCAGTTGGGGAGAAATTCCTCCAGCAAACTTAAGTGGGGAAAAAAAGTTGAATCCTCAAGATATCTCTGCAGATCCTGACCTCCTCCCTCCAACATGGGGAAGTCACCCCTCCTGGGGGGACGGGACTTCTGGGAAGAGATAGAGAGCCCTGAGTCCTGAAGGATACTAATAAAGTGCTTTCTCACTGGGCATGGTGGGACAGGCCTGTCATCTCAGCACTCTGGGAAGCTGAGACAGGAGGATCAAAAGTTCCACCCCAGCCTGGAAAACTCAGCAAGCCCCTGTCTCAAAATACAAAATAAGGGGGCCAGGAAGATAGCTCAGCAGACTAAAGAGTCTGCTTAGGCAAATTTAGCTAAGCGCAGGGACCGCGGTTCAATCCCCCGCACCAAGTGCTGTGCCAGCCCTGACCCCAGCCGAGCCCGCCAGAGTCTGGGTGCACATCTGTAATCCCAGTGCTGGGGAAGCTGAAAACAGGAGGATCACTATGAGTCCAAGTAGTGAGACCCTGTACCAACCAAATACAAAGAAAGAAAGAAAGAAAGAAAGAAAGAAAGAAAGAGAGAGAGAGAGAGAGAGAGAGAGAGAGAGAGAGAGAGAGAAAGAAAGAAAGAAAGAAAGAAA